GAAGCACACTGTCTGGGCTTTAATTCTTTCTCAGGCCATGAGACAGTGAAGAAGTTCTTTCCTCTCTATTTCCTCAGCTGTAAAATGAGGATAATAAAAGTACCTGTCTCATAGGATTGCTGAGGATTCAATGATTTCATATAGAAAAAGTGTTTTGAACAGAACCTGGTACAGAATGGTGTCATATGTATTTTAATATTCTAATTTTCTACTCTAACAACCTTAGCACTTGGCTTTCATTCTCAAGGTCACCACATAGTCCAGAATGGTTGCTGGTGCTCCAGCCATTACATCCCAATTCTAAGTAGCTGAAATAAGAAAGAGGAGGAGGACAAAGGCCCCACCCTCCAGCTGAGTCAGTTTCCTTTAAGCAATTTTCCAGAGTTCCCATGAATCACTTATGCTTATAGGTCACTGGCCTGAACTTAGTCACCTGGCCTCATATAGTTGCAAGGGAGGCTTAGAATCATGGTTTTTGGGCTGGGTTCTCTTAGAAAAAAAGGAGAAGGAATACAGATTTTGATTGGTATAATATTGTGATTTATAAATTAAAAGAATGTATATTTGGTCTCTGTTTCTGGCACTGAGCTCCTAAAAAACCCTTGGAACTTCCTGTGATAAGAGCAATAAATGTGTCTTTTGTTATGTTCGTGAGGTAATTTGGGGAATGCCCCTAGGTAACAAGGGCTGAGGGCTGGTTGCCAGGAGAACCAACAGAGTATTTAGAGGATTGGAAATTTCTGTTCCATCCCCTGACCTCTAGGAAGGGGAAAGGGGTTGGAGACTGAGTTCAATCACCAGACCAATGACTTAATCAACTGTGCCTATGTAATGAAGCCTCCATAAAAATGTGAAGGACTGGGCTCAGAGAGCTTCCATGTTGGTGAACACGGGGAGGTTTGGGGAGGGTGGCATGATCAGAGAGAGCATGGGAGCTCCGAGCCCTTTCCCCATACCTTGGAATATGTATCATTTCCATCTGGCTGTTCCTGATTTACAACCTTTTATAATACACTGATAATCTAGTAAGTTAAATGTTTCTCTGAGTTCTGTGAGCTGCTCTAGCAAATTAAATGAACCCAAGAAGGGAGTTGTTGGAACCTCTACAGCCGGTTGGTCAGAAGCCCAGGTGATAACCTCCTGGATTTACTATTGGCATCTGAAGGATGGGGTGGCGGGGGTGGGGGTGGGGGTGGGGGTGGGGTGGGAGGGCTGGAGCAGTCTTGTAGGACTAAACACATAACATGTGGGATCTGATGTTATCAGTGTCAAAATTGAGTTGAATTGTAGGACACCCAGCTGGTGTTAGAGAATCGCTTGGTGGGATGGGGAAACTACCCCCCTTCCTCTCACACACCTACACATTGGAATCGGGTCTAGAATCCTTTTAAATTGGCAAGTTGCAGTAGCTGCCACAGGGAATAATAGATAAGCTCCAATAGGTGGGCTCCGACATTGAGATCTCTTACATATCACAGGTAGAGTGAGAGGAGGGGTGAGTAAAGAGATGTATTCAGGTTTTAACATCAATGGGTACCTGCCGGGGAGCAGGGATTAGATTTCTGGTTGGGGAAGGGCAAGTGTGTAAGAAGGTGCCACCTCTGACAGCTGTCTCTCCAAATGTGCTGTTTTCACACTCTTCCTCTTCTAACAGATTTCCATCAGTCTACAATTGTCATACAACACATTACCTTGAAAAATGAAAAGTGCCGCTTTTCAGGAATGTGTTTGCTGCCCCCCTCCCCCTTGCAGATGGAACCCTGCAGAGCACCAGCAGCTGGGGAGAGGGAGAGGAAGAAGAGGGGTCTCTGTGTCTGTTAGGACTCTGAGCACCCAGCTTCCTGGTTACTTTTATTGGTGTTCCAGTGTTCACCCCAACTGTGGTTGGTGGCAGAGCTCATTCAATCGGAGACCCTTCTGGAAACCTGCTCTACCTTTATGCTCTGGGTCCCAGGACCTTCTCTAGCCTTTAAGAAGTGGCGGCCTACCTGCTGAGCCCCTTGCAGGATAAAGGTTGGGCTAGCCTTTCTTCAGGATCCAAAATTCTTTGCCCTCAGAGCACTGCTCCTGACCTACCAGCCCCTGCTGCCTTCACCCAGGAGAGCAGACAGGCTGGCCATGATAGTAAAAGCAGAGTGCCCAAGCTACACTTAACTTTACGGAAATGGAGTATACTTATTATCTATTGCTGCATGTCTATTTACCCTAAAACTTAATAGCTTTAACATGATAATAAAAAAACAGACATAATAAACTCAGTTTCTGTGGATTGGGAACCTGGGAGAGACATGGCCAGGATGTTTTGGCTCAGGGTCTCCATAAGTTTTCAGATAAGAGTTTGGTGGGGCTGCATCATCTGAAGGCTTGACTGGGGCTGGAGGAGCCACTTCCAAGGCAGCTCATCTATATGAGTAGGTGGTCCTGCCCTTTGGCAAGAAGCCTCAGTTCCTCTCCCTGTGGACTTCCTCTGAGGACACTTGAGTGTCCTTATGATGTGGCAGCTGGCTTCCACCAGAGCAAGAGAGCCAGGAGATAAAGAGCCAGGGAGAAGCTTTCCTTTTGATGAACTAGCCTCACGATCACATAGCACTACTTCCACTACCTTCTATTTTTTAGAGTTGAGTTACTAAGTCTGGCTCACATTCAATGGGAGGGAAATTAGGTTACACCGTTTGAATGGGGAGTATTGAAGAATTTGAAGAGAGGGCAGACAGCAGAAGCAAGAAGAACTACAATTCTGCAGCCTGTGGAAGGAAAACCACATTCACAGAAAGATAGACAAAATGAAAAGGCAGAGGACTTAGTACCAGATGAAGGAACAAGATAAAAACCTCAGAAAAACAACTAAATGAAGTGGAGATAGGAAACCTTCAAGAAAAAGAATTCAGAATAATGATAGTGAAGATGATCCAGGACCTCGGAAAAAGAACGGAGGCAAAGATCGAGAAGATGCAAGAAATGTTTAACAAAGACCTAGAACAATTAAAAAACAAACACCTAGAAGATTTAAAGAACAAACAAACAGAGATGAACAATACAATAACTGAAATGAAAATTACACCAGAAGGAATCAATAGCAGAATAACTGAGGCAGAAGAACAGATACGTGACCTGGAAGACAGAATGGTGGAATTCACTGCTGCAGAACAGAATAAAGAAAAAATAATCAAAAGAAGTGAAGACAGCCTAAGAGACCTCTGGGACAACGTTAAACACAACAATGTTCACATTATATGGGTCCCAGAAGGAGAAGAGAGAGAGGAAGGACCTGAGAAAATATTTGAAGAGATTACAGTTGAAAACTTCCCTAACATGGGAAAGGAAATAGCCACACAAGTCCAGGAAGCGCAGAGAGTCCCAGGCAGGATAAACCCAAGGAGAAACACACTGAGACACATAGTAATCAAATTGACAAAAATTTAAGACAAAGATAATTATTGAAAGCAACAAGGGAAAAATGACAAATAACATACAAGGGAACTCCCATAAAGTTAACAGCTGATATCTCAGCAGAAACTCTACAAGCCAGAAGGGAATGGCATGATATCTTTAAAGTGATGAAAGGGAAGAACCTACAACCAAGATTACTCTACCCAGCAAGGATCTCATTCAGATTCGATGGACAAATCAAAAGCTTTACAGACAAGCAAAAGCTAAGAGAATTCAGCACCACCAAACCATCTCTACAACAAATGGTAAAGGAACTTCTCTAAGTGGGAAACACAAGAGAAGAAAAGGACCTACAAAAACAAACCCATAACAATTAAGAAAATGGTCATAGGAACATACATATTGATAATTACCTTAAACGTGAATGGATTAAATGCCCCCACCAAAAGACACAGGCTCACTGAGTAGATACAAAAACAGGACCCATATATATGCTGTCTACAAGAGACCCAATTCAGACCTAGGGACACATACAGACTAAAAGTGACAGGATGGAAAAAGATATTCCATGCAAATGGAAATCAAAAGAAAGCTGGAGTAGCAATACTCATATCAGACACAATAGACTTTAAAATAAAGAATGTCACACGAGCCAGGAAGGACACTACATAATGATCAAGGGATCAATCCAAGAAGAAGATATAACAATTACAAATATATATGCACCCAACATAAGAGCACCTCAATACATAAGGCAACAGCTAACAGCTATAAAAGAGGAAATTGACAGTAACACAATAATAGTAGGGGGATAAGCTCTCTCTGGGAAGCAGCAGCCTCTGCCTTCACGGGTGGTGGGAGAATCCAGCCTGCAGCCTAGAGTCCTTTTTGAAACTTGCCGTTGATGTGAGCTTTATGGCCTCTGGAAGAGCATTTGTAATGAAGGGGTGTGATCTCTGCATCCTCAGCAAGTCGCAACTGTTTCACAGTGATGAGACAGTCACCCTCTAAATGGAGGACCCTTTGGCACCAAAACCCCAAGACATTAGGATCATTCCGCATGGTCAGAATGCTGCTACGGTTATGTAAGACGGCACAACTATTCTAGGACTATTCTAGGACGATGGCAAACATGAGCCTAAAGGCAACCTGGGAAGCCCGCTTGCGTTAGCCCATCTTCGCTGGAAGACTCCAGGAACCAAGCAAAATGCAGGAAAAAAACCCTTGTTTTAAAGAAACCCAGTAGGCGGAAGCCTCTATTTATACAGAAACCACCTAAGGAGTGACTTCTTCAAGAGATCGAGGACTCCGTTACAAAGCACGTTTCCCTGATGCCTTGAATATCACGTGGGAGACACACATACTTCCTTGCATGGACAGGCCCACTGTATCAAGAGAGGCACATCTGCATTTATCTCTGAAAAGGATTTCTTTTGAGAAAGCACCTCCCTTCCCTGCAAGACCCCGGAAGACATATTGACAAGAGCAGGATTAAGCCACGTTGACAATGGGAGGATTATTTCCTAACCTGATGTGTGACAAATGCCTATTAATAAATGAACAAGACAGACCTGTCTCCATTTTCTCCCAAAGCCTCCTCACCCACTGACCAGAGCCGAGGCGTCCATGCGATCACTGACGTTTCCTGTCCTGCCGCCTGCCCAGGCCCCAGGGAGAGTCCTTCTGGGCGCATCTGAGACCCGGGGGCCCGGGCCTCCAGCGCCTGGGTCAGGGGAGCTGCTTGACTGCCTCCCGGCAACGCCCCTCTTGCTTTGTTCTTGGCATTTCCATTGACAGAGGACAAAATGCTTTCTTGTCAGACAAAAATGCACACTGGGGAAGCTTGCCCAAGCAGTTTTTCTCAGGGAAGAAAGGAAGTTGTTGTTTGAAAACCTTAAACTGGCATTGAGACCTCAGAGGCCTGACTCGGCAGCTCTGGTTCTCAGCAGACCTACTTTTTCTGTTTTGAAAGTCCTGTTTCCTCCTTCACTTCCTGGCCGTGGAGCTCCGGGGACGTTCCCCTGCAAGGTTCTAAGGCCTCTGTCACCACGGGTCTGCATTCTCCTGTCTCCATAAAAAAGAACAAAATAATGCCATTTGCAGCAACGTGGATGGACCTAGAGATGATCATGCTAAGTGAAGAAATTCAGACAGAGAAAGACAAATATCATATGATATCACCTATAGGTGGAATCTAATAATAAAAAAATGGTACAAATGAACTTTTTTACAAAACAGAAGCAGACTCACAGATCTTCAAAAGTGTGGTTACCACAGGGGAAACGTGGGGGGAAGTGATAAATTAGGAGGTTGGGATTAACATATACACACTACTATATATAAAACAGATAATCAATAAGAACCTACTGTATAGTACAGGGAACTCTACTCAATATTCTGTAATAACCTATATGGGAAAAGAATCAGACAAAGAATGGAGATATATATATATATATAAAACTGATTCACTTTGCTGTATACCTGAAACTAAAACAACACTGTAAATCAACTACACTCCAATAAAAAAAAAATGCAGCAAAAAAAAAAAATAGTAGGGGACTTTAACACCTCACTTACACCAATGGACAGATCATCAACAGAAAATTAATAAGGAAACACAAGCTTTAAATGACACAATAGACCAGATAGATTTAATTGGTATTTATAGGACATTCCATCCAAAAACAGCAGATTACACTTCCTCCTCAAGTGCACAGAGGACATTCTCCAGGATTGATCACATCTTGGGTCACAAATCAAGCCTCAGTAAATTTAAGAAAATTGAAATCATATCAAACATCTTTTCTGACCACAACGCTATGAGATTAGAAATCAATTAAAGGGAAAAATACATAAAAACACGAACACATGGAGGCTAAACAATATGTTACTAAATAACCAAGAGATCGCTGAAGAAATCAAAGAGGAAATAAAAGAATACCTATAGGCAAATTACAATGAAAACACAACAATCCAAAACCTATGGGATGCAGCAAAAGCAGTTCTAAAAGGGAAGTTTATAGCAATACAAGCCTACCTCAGGAAGCAAGAAAAAATCTCAAATAAACAATCTAACCTTACACCTAAAGGAACTAGAGAAAGAGGGACAAACAAAACCCAAGCAGAAGGGAAGAAATCATAAAGATCAGAGCAGAAATAAATGAAATAGAAACAAAGAAAACAATAGCAAAGATCAATAAAACTAAAAGCTGGTTCTTTGAGAAGATAAACGAAACTGATAAACCATTAGCCAGACTCAACAAGAAAAAGAGGGAGAGGACTCAAATCAATAAAATTAGAAATGAGGGCTTCCCTGATGGCGCAGTGGTTGAGAGTCCACCTGCCGATGCAGGGGACACAGGTTCGTGCCCTGGTCCGGGAAGATCCCACATGCCGCAGAGCGGCTGGGCCCGTGAGCCATGGTTGCTGAGCCTGCGCGTCCGGACCCTGTGCTCCGCAACGGGAGAGGCCACAACAATGAGAGGCCTGCGTACCACAAAAAAAAAAAAAAAAAAAAAGAAATGAAAAAGAAGAAGTTACAAAGGACACCGCAGAAATACAAAGCATCCTAAGAGACTACTACAAGCAACCCTATTTCAGTAAAATGGACAACCTGGAAGAAATGGACAAATTCTTAGAAAGGTATAACCTTCCAAGACTGAACCAGGAAGAAATAGAAAATATGAACAGAGCAGTCACAAGTAATCAAATTGAAACTGTGATTAAAAATCTTCCAACAAACAAAAGTCCAGGACCAGATGGCTTCACAGGTGAATTCTATCAACCATTTAGAGAAGAGTTAACAACCATCCTCCTCAAACTCTTCCAAAAAATTGCAGAGGAAGGAATACTCCCAAACTCATTCTATGAGGCCACCATCACCCTGATACCAAAACCAGACAAAGATACTACAAAAAAAGAAAATTACAAACCAATATCACTGATGAATATAGATGCAAAAATCCTCAACAAAATACTAGCAAACAGAATCCAACAACACATTAAAAGGATCACACACCATGATCAAGTGGGATTTATCCCAGGGATGCAAGGACTCTTCAATATATGCAAATCAATCAATGTGATACACCATATTAACAAATTGAAGAATAAAAACCATATGATCATCTCAATAGATGCAGAAAAAGCTTTTGACAAAATTCAACACCCATTTATGATAAGAACTCTCCAGAAAGTGGCCATAGAGGGAACCTACCTCAATATAATAAAGGCCATATATGACAAACCCACAGCAAACATCATTCTCAGTGGTGAAAAACTGAAAGCATTTCCTCTAAGATCAGGAACAAGACAAGGATGTCCACTCTCACCACTGTTATTCAACATAGTTTTGGAAATCCTAGGCATGGCAATCAGAGAAGAAAAAGAAATAAAAGGAATACAAATTGGAAAAGAAGAAATAAAACTGTCACTGTTTGCAGATGACATGATAGTACACATAGAGAATCCTAAAGATGCCACCAGAAAACTACTAGAGCTAATCAATGAATTTGGTAAAGTTGCAGGATACAAAATTAATGCACAGAAATCTCTTGAATTCCTATACACTAACAATGAAAGATCAGAAAGAGAAATTAAGGAAACAATCTCATTCACCATTGCAACAAAATGAATAAAATTCCTAGGGATAAACCTACCTAAGGAGGTTAAAGACCTGTACTCAGAAAACTAGAAGACACTGATGAAAGAAATCAAAGATGACACAAACGCATGGAGAGATATACCATGTTCTTGGATTGGAAGAATCGATATTGTGAAAATGACTATACTACCCAAAGCAATCTACAGATTCAATACAATCTCTAACAAATTACCAGTGGCATTTTTTACAGAACTAGAACAAAAAATCTTAAAATTTGTATGGAGACACAAAAGACCCCAAATAGCCAAAGCAGCCTCTTTTTTTTAAATTTAATTTAATTTATTTTTGGCTGTGTTGGGTCTTCGTTGCTGTGCAGGGGCTTGATCTAGTTGCAGAGAAAGGTGAGTGGTGGCTACTCTTCGTTGTGGTGAGCAGGTTTCTCATTGCAGCGGCTTCTCCTGTTGCGGAGCACAGGCTCTAGGCACGCAGGCTCAGTAGTTGTGGCTCGTGGGCTCTAGAGTGCAGACTCAATAGTTGTGGTGCAGCAGCTTAGTTGCTCCACGGCATGTGGGATCTTCCTGGACCAGGGCTCGAACCCCTGTCCCCTGCATTGGCAGGCGGATTCTTAACCACTGCGCTACCAGGGAAGCCCAGCCAAAGCAGTCTTGAGGGAAAAAAATGGACCTGGAGGAGTCAGACTCCCTGACTGCAGACTATACTACAAAGCTACAGTAATCAAAACAGATTACTGGCACCAAAACAGAAATATAGATCAATGGAACAGGATAGAAAGCCCATAGATAAACCCACACACCTATGGTCAACTAATCTATGACAAAAGAGGCAAGGATATACAGTAGAGAAAAGACAGTCTTTTCAATAAGTGGTGCTGGGAAAACTGGACAGCTACATGTAAAAGAATGAAATTAGAACACTCCCTAACACCATATACAGAAATAAACTCAAAATGGATTAGAGACGTAAATGTGAGACTGGACAGTATAAAACTCTTAGAGGAAAACATAGGAAGAACACTCTTTGACATAAATCACAGCAAGAACTTTTTTGATCCACCTCCAAGAGAAATAGAAATAAAAACAAAAATAAACAAATGGGACCTAATAAAACTTAAAAGTTTTTGCAAAGCAAAGGAAACTACAAACAAGACAAAAAGACAACCCTCAGAATGGGAGAAAATATTTGCAAATGAAGCAACTGACAAAGGATTAATCTCCAAATATAAACAGCTCATGCAGCTCAATATTAAAAAAACAAACAACCCAATCCAAAAATGAGCAGAAGACCTAAATAGACATTTCTCCAAAGAAGACACACAGGTGACCAAGAAGCACATGAGAAGCTGATCAACATCACTAATTATTAGAGAAATGCAAATCAAAATTACAATGAGGTATCACCTCACACCAGGTAGAATGGGCATCATCAGAAAATCTACAAACAACAAATGCTGGAGAGGGTGTGGAGAAAAGGGATCACTTTTGCACTGTTGGTGGGAATGTAAATTGAAACAGCCACTATGGAGAACTCTATGGAAGTTCTTTAAAAATCTAAAAACAGAATTACCATATGACCCAGCAATCCCACTACTGGGCATATACCCAGAGAAAACCACAATTCAAAAAGACACATGCACCCCAATGTTCATTGCAGCACTATTTACAATAGCCAGGTCATGGAAGCAACCTACATGCCCATCGACAGATGAATGGATAAAGAAGTTGTGGTACATATATACAGTGGAATATTACTCAGCCATAAAAAGGAATGAAATTGGGTCATTTGTAGAGATGTGGATGGATCTAGAGACTGTCATACAGAGTGAAGTAAGTCAGAAAGAGAAAAACAAATATTATATATTAACGCATATATGTGGAACCTAGAAAAATGGTACAGATGAACCCGTTTGCAGGGCAGATATAGAGACATGGATGTAGAGAACAAACGTATGGACACCAAGGCGGGAAAGCGTGGTGGGTGGGGTGGTGGGATGAACTGGGAGATTGGGACAGTCATATATACACTTATATGTATAAAATAGATAACTATAAATAACCCAATTTCGTTTCTTTTTATGGCTGAGAAATATTCCATTGTATATATGTGCCACATCTTCTTTATCTATTCATCTGTTGATGGACGCTTAGGTTGCTTCCATGTCCTGGCTATTGTAAATAGAGCTGCAGTGAACATTGTGGTACATGACTCTTTTTGAATTATGTTTTTTTCAGGGTATATGCCCAGTAGTGGGATTGCTGAGGCAGGACAGGAATAAAGACGCAGACGTAGAGAATGGACTTGAGGACA